CACATCAGAATAGCATCTTTTAATATTAACAAAGAAAATCATCTTTTAACATTTCTCAAAACTCTAAGCATCAACTTCATTTTCAGGAAGATGTGCCATGCTTACTCCACAGTGGAGTGTACTCTCCAGCACACCACCAGCTGCCTATATATATTCTAATTTGGGATAAATTGCCTTTAAAGATGCAAGAGAAGAAAGGCCCTCACTTGTCACTCGCCTTCTGTATCTCCAAGGTCGCTGGGTAGAGGAGTAGTTCCCCTTCCTCCTCCTCAAAGCAAAGTCCTCCTTTCTTCTTAGATATTTGAGACAAATCTCCCACACAGGTATATCTGATCACTGTGGTACCCCAAAGAGGGCTGTGGATCTCCACCACCACTCACAGCTTGGGTTCAATAGAGTTGCACCATACAAGGAGATGGAGCCTACTAATCACCAGTTAATAACCGGTTAGGCAGTTTCAAGGCAAGTTTATCATTAGCTCTGAGACCCCAGAATATTCAGGAACCGATAGATACCTTGATTCTTACCATCTGTCTCCATACAGATTCTTGGATCACTGTGATTCCTAGAGCTCCATGGTTTGTAATTCCTTGGGTCCTAGAATGGCTCTTATAAGCCCTGTCCTAAGGGGATTCCTGATCAGTAGAGGTGGGAACATGAAGGCTATACTAGTCAAGGTTCTCCAGAGAAACAGAACCAATAGGATGCATATAGATGTATAAATAGAGAGAGAGAGTGAGAGATTACAAGAAATTGGCTCATGTGATTATAGTAGCTGAGAAGTCCCAAGATCTGCAGTCAGCAAGCTGGAGACCCTGAGAGCTGGTGTGTAGCTCCAGTCTGAGTCCAAAGACCTGAGAACCAGGAGGGTGAACAGTATAACTTCCAGTCTGAAAGCTGGCAAGCTCAAACCCAAAGAGAGCTGATGTTTCAGTTCAAGTCCGAGGACCAGAAAAGACTGATGTCTCAGCTCAAAGCAATCAGGCAGAAGGAGCCCCCTCTTATTCATGAGAGGATCAGTCTTTTTGTTCTATTAATACCAAACAGATTAGATGAGGCTCACCCACATTGGGGAGAGGAATCTGCTTTACTCCGTCTACTGATTCGAATGTTGACCTCACCCTTAAACACCCTCACAGACGCACCGAGAATAATGTTTAACCAAATATCGGGGCACACCATAGCCCAGTCAAGTTGATACATAAAAATAACCATCACAGAATCATATTACCAGTAGAGGCAAAAATTCAAAAGCTGATGGATAAAGAGTGAGAGAGAACGTGATGCTGAGAGAAAGATAAAGGAAGACATATGCAGAGGGAATAAAGCCGAGAAAAAAAGACAGTAATTAACAAAATGTAGACAAAAAACGTGGAAGGTTGAGAGTAGGAGCTCTGTTCAGACACTAAAGGACAGCTTGAGGAGTGGGTGGCGCCATTTTTGCCTGGGTTTCTCTTTCCCAGGATTGAACACAAAACTCTTATTCTCCACCCAGACATGCAATATGGCAGCCCAATGAGAAGACGTTTCATTGGAATGTAACACAGAAACATGTTTGTCATGTTCACCTGGTCCCAGGATAGAGTAACCCTAGCATCTTTCCTGGAGGATCTAAGACATGTTCTGGAGATGGACATTTTTTGGATGTTTAACAATTAAATTTCATTTTTTTCTTTCTTAGCTGCACTACCTTAGGCAAAGCCATTTCTCTTAAAGACTTATTTTCATTATTTTTAAAATCAGGCTGTGGCTGATTCTGGTAGAGGAGAGAAGCATTCCAAGTAAGAGTGTGGGTAGTGATCTTGGTCCTAAATTGGGGTTCCCCATCTGCTGGGAAGCAGAGTGCTACAATAGAAGGTCAAAGTCATTGGAGTCACAGTTCCTGCCTCATTTTAAGTCATGATATCTTGCTAAGTCCCAGTTGCATCCTCCTTAATTTGGTGCCATTACCATCTCCCTCACAGGATGGCTTTGTCAGAATCTAATGGGATCATAAAAGTTAAAAAGCCCCAGTTACAAATCCTGGCGCTTATTTGCTGCTCATGAAATAGACTTCACAATCCTTCTCCTTCTCACTCCTAAAATATCTTTCCTCCATCTGCCTTCCCCCCAACACACAGACATCCTGGGGTCCCATCAGATCCCTGGTAAGCAGATAAAGGGTTTAATGAATAAGAAGCTGATCTTAGCTGAAGGGGTGAGGATAACATAAAGTCTTCCAAGCACAAATCCAGTCATTTCTCAGAAGTCTCTGTTTAAGTGATCCAAGAATCTATATAGAGATAGAATAAGAATCAAGGTGTCTCAACTTAAATAAAAAATAACTCATCCTATAAGTATTATGAGAGAAGAAACAAATCATCAATATTAGGAAAAAAAGGTAAAGTAGCATCAACAGCAACAGATGCAAACTAATATGGAACAAAGGTCAATAAAAGATATGGGAGAAAACACTATTTCATATATTGGCAGTGGTAATGACTTCTCTACCATGGGTTCTTTCACTTGTTGACCTAGGAAGACATTCTAAGAGGTGTACAATTTTTTTTAAAAAGGAGAACAGTTAGGAAAACTACCTAAAGTAATACAGTTGATGTGTAAGGAAATTGCAAGGAAGAGCCACCTGCCCAAGACCACTTGGTCCTCTTTTTCCCTTTGTTGTTCTGATAAATATCAGAACTCATAAAAGGGTCTCTAGTAGTATAAATATGGCCTTAAAAGCCATTCCATATCTGTACCTGACACTTACCAAGACTACAGTCACTTCTTTCCATGAGACTATGGGGGGACCAGTGTTCATTCAAAGACCACAGCAGAGAATAGCTGTTATTATTAGCAGAGCCCCTAATCTCTTAATACAAATAAGTCCAATAAGATGGGCTTTAGAGCATGGGGCCAGCAATCTACAGCCTACAGGCCAGATCTGACCCCCTATGTATTGTTATTGGAATATTGTCATGTTCATTCATGTACTTATTATCAATGGCCACTTTCACGCTGCAATGGCAAAGTTGATTAGCTTTGACAGAGATTCTATGGCCTTCAAAGACTATGTTGTTTATTCTTTGGCCCTTTACAGAAAAGGTTTGCTAACTCTTGGACTATAGCTTGGGGCTGAGCCTAGAAATCCATCCCTAAGTCTGGGCCTATACTTAGGGTCTCACCTTTATTTATCTGGACTCAGGACAGAACAGAATCTAATGCAATTGAAATTAATGGGGCAAAATAGATTTGAAATAAGGAGCAAAGCAAGATGTGGGAAAGATTCTAGTACACTTTAACATTCCTCTTCCACAAGAGGAAGTAATTAAAAAAAAAAAACTCACCCCAAAGGTTGTGGTGACTTAACACAATGTAGTCCCTGCTCGTCAATAAATGTGGCTCAAACCAGTTCCTGAAAGTCAACCAATTAATGTCCCCTTCCCCCTAGAAAGCCACTTAGTTTTTAAGCAATAACAATAGTATTTTTAATCAGGTCATTCTGCCTCTAGAATCCATGAATTTTCCCATTACTCCTCTACTCATTTTAAATACCCAGCTAAGAACACAACCATCATTTTTCCCTCCACTCAAGCTTCATTCAAATGAGAACAAAGAAAGAAAGAAGGCATAAACCACAAGAAAGAAAATTGGGATGTGGGCAATTTTATGCAATCTACATCACCGAATTTCTGGGTGACTGAAAGTATATATATGGAAATTGATGAAAAAAGACAAAACTTAAATTTGCACAAAATGAGATAGTTAATGCTATTTGCCTTCCAAAAAATGAGACAGGCTCAGGACTTCAAAATACTTGGTGTGTTGGAAGGCAAGGTTACAGGGGGCTGGAGAGTGGGGGAATTGGGGAGATATTGATCAAAGGGCACAAACTTCCTGTTATAATATGAGTAAGTTCTGGGGACCTAATGTACAACATGGTGAGTATAATTAACGGTACTGTATTCTATGCTTAGAAGTTGCTAAGAGAGTAGATCTTCCATGTTCTCACTACAAAAAAGAAATGGTAAATATGGGAGGTGATGAAGGTGTTAGCCAAGGCTACAGTGAAAATCATTTTGCAATATATAAATGTATCAGATCAACACGTTATATACTTTAAATTTACACAAGGTTATATGTTGATTATATCTCAGTGAAGCTGGAAAAAAGAGTGATGTTTCGCGATTAAAATGAGATAGTCAATATAGAGTTTGATTTGAAATATCTGACTTCCCATACTTGAAGAAAGAGTAATAGCCAGGAGTCTATAACCAAATTATCTATCTATCTATCTATCTATCTATCTATCTATCTATCTATCCATCTATCTATCTATTTAACCTATATTCTCTCCATCCATCCAAATGGAAGGGCCTGGGACAGAATATAAGATCCATTATATTGATATAAATATAGATAGATATATTTACAGATGATAGCTACAGATGTAGATATAGGAGGTTCTTTCCTTAGACATGATGAAAGCTCCTGAGAAAATGCCTGTACATGCTGGCATTGAGATAATCCCCAGTATAAATGTATACCGCTTGCCTGATCAAGTCCAAGTGGATATGAAGGAGTTAGGTCCGTGAATTCCAGAGAGAACATGTGGGCCCATAACAGGCAAGACCACATGGTTTCTGACTGATGGTTTAGTGAAGAGAAATCTCTGTCTGTATCGCACTCATCTTATATTCTGTCCCAGCCCCTTCCATTTGGATGTGGGATCTGGTCCAATGAAGGATTTGAGCCCCATTGGACATTGGTTGATGAAAACATTCACTTCTGATGTGAAACATAAACAGGAAGTTTGGTCTCCTCTTGGACCCTATCCAAGAGCTACCCAGAACTAAGTTCTTCAGGAAGAAACCATTTATTGTGCAGGAATAGATGTAGAAATTCTCTGACGAGGGGCTCTGACCTCATACTTCCTGTGGATCTTAGTGTCTTATGAGAATCTGTCATCCTGCTAATGTGCACCAACAAGAGGTTAACTGGGCTGAGGCTGTGTCAGAATCATGACCTCCGGAGACATCACCCTCCTCTGTCTCAGTGAGTCCTGAAATGCAAGCGGGTTAGAGGGGAAGCTGGGGGAATCCCAAAATAGTCAGGGCCCCTCTTAACATGAGGATTTGGTGATTTTAGTGGCTGCCAAGGAGATTCCAACCTCCTTAATGGAGAGATGGTTTTTGCCTAGATATCTGTAACTGCCTCTACCCAAGTCCAAGCTAGCTTGTGGGGCTCAGTTGTCAGGTTGTCAAGTTGACCCTGGGGGGCTCATTCAACCCATGCGATCCTGTCTGGGGATGTATTATGTTTCCTGGATGTATTATGTTTCCTGTTGATAAAAGTCTTAGGGGCTAGAATCTACAAGCTAAAATTAAAAGATGAGCCTTAAAGCTATGTTCACTGTGGAAGAAAAAATGACACCCTGGGTGTTATTACTTAGAGTGATTTATAATAGAGACTGGACACTGGAGGATTGCTTTTTCATGAATCTCTCTCTTCCAGTGCTCTGTCTGAGCCAGAAGATTCAGGCACGGGAAGGTAAGTGTTCCCCTCAATCTCCCCAGTCACCCAATACCCTCCTGGCAGCTCTGGATAGAAGGGATGAAGGGATGGTCTAAAGCCAAGATGAATTCCAATCTTATTCTCCATTCTAATTGTCTCTGCTATGTTCCCCTTGCATAATTTCTGTTTCATTTTGTATCTCCAGACCCCTCAAATTCATCATGTTCAGACCTGGATTTCGTCTTTTCGCTTCTGTTAGGCTGTCTGTCCATCAGAGATGTGTGTTTTACTGAATGTTCACAACTACAGGGATGAGGAAGTCGGGAGCCATCTTTGATTGCCCAAATCCTTCCATATGTCGCATCTACTTGCTTTCACAACCTAGTTCTCCCCAGTCTATCCACTTTGCTCCATTTAAAGGGACACCGTCTTAGCTGTTGTAGGATCTGTGTATTCTTCTGTACTAACTACAGTACAAAGCAGTAAGCACTACTAAATTACTACTGTATATTCTGTCATTCCAACTACTGCTTGGCCTCCTAATGGGTGTGACACCATATCCATCCACGTCTTCTCCCTTCCAGCTCCTTCTAAAGACTGTAGCCTGGATTGTTTTTGTCTTTAAAATGCAAATATGTTTATCTCCCTCTTAAAACTGCTCAGTAGTCTATCTTTAGATAAACCTAGCTACTTGCCCAGGCCTCTCAACCCCTGCCCACCCTGGCTTGTGTTTACTCCTCCAGCGCATCTTCCACTCTCCCTCTGAGTCTCTGCTCTTCATCCACGCTGACCTTAATTTAGTTTCTCCTTCACTTGTTCCGCTTCATTAATTCAGGGTCTTTTCTCATTGTCCTTTCTTTCTTTTTTTTTTTTTCTTTTGAGGGAGATTAGCCCAGAGCTGACATCTGTTGCCAATCCTCCTCTTTTTTGCTGAGGAAGATTGGCCCTGGGCTAACATCCATGCCCATCTTCCTCTACTTTATATGGGATGCTGCCATAGCATGGCTAGACAAGCGGTGCATAGGCCCACACCCGAGATCCAAATCTTTGAACCCCGGGCAGCTGAAGCGGAGCCTGCGAACTTAACTGCCACACCACTGGGCCGGCCCTCTCATTGTCCTTTCTACCTGCAATGCCCCAAACCTGCCTATCCACATCACCTAGGCAATTCCTACACAGCCTTATATATCAGCTGAACCCTCACGTCTGTTATCAGATCTCCGAGTTCTACGTCTTTATACTGCAGGCCGTATGTCATGATCTACAATTGTATATTTGTGTATTTTTTAATTAGAATCTCACATTTCCCATATCATCATCCCCCTAAAGGTATTGACCAGGTCTGTTCAGGTAAGGTTTCTTGAACTCAGCACTATTGACATTTGGGACCGGATAATCCTCTGTTCTGGGGCTGCCCTGTGCATTGTAAGATGTTTAGCAGCATCCCTGGCCTCTACCCACTAGATGCCAATAGTACCTCCCACCCCAGTTGTGACAACTAAAAATGTCTCCAGACATTGCCAAATTGTCGCCTGAGAGGCAAAATTGCCCCAAGTTGAGAACCACTGGTTTAGGTCATGATAGTAGATAAACAATGTGCTTGGGTCAATGGAGGCATCTTTTTATGTGTTTTGGAACAACAAATGCATGGATGTGTTGGTGAGTGAACGATATTGAATATAAGGAAATCCAGCAGGGTTTGTCTTGCTTGACAACAATCCTTGTGGGGATGGCAAACTCCCTTCTTATCCCCTGCACAGAGCTGCAGTTGAGCACATCAGTATCAGGTCTAAAATGATGATGGACCTTGACAAAGGGAACCAGCAGGTTTTGAGTGTCCCTCCCTCCGGTTTCCTATAATAGAGATTGGAAACTGGAGAATTGCTTTTTCATTAATTTCTCTCTTACAGTACTCTGTCCAGGCAAGGAAATTCAGGCACAGGAAGGTAAGTGTTCCCTATATCTCCCCAGCTCCTTTACACACTGTATCAGGGTTAAAGCTGAAAGCAGAAGTCTTCAAAATGCAAAGTTACTTGCTCACAGCCACTGAGCATGAATGGATTGGTGCCAAGAAGCTAACCGGCACCTTCTTATACCCCAATACCTTCCCAAATCCCTTTCTGTCCTAAATCTCACTCCTGGAGCTATGTAGTTTCCAAGTCCCAGCCTCTGGCCCTCTCTCACAGAACTAATCATCATGTTCACCAGCCACTTGTGTTAGTTGTCCCTCACATTGCATTCTCTAACTGTTTCAGGATAGAGAGCTCTCCTCATCTGCAGAGAAGAAAGTGCAGAATCTAAATGAGACATTCCTAGTTTCCAAACCAGGTCTGACCACTCTTCAGTTTGTGGTCTTGAGCAATTGGCATGGTTTCTCCAAGCTTCAGAACCCTCACTGTAGAGTGAAGAGCAAGATTGCATGTTGAGAAGATTGCCATGGCAAGAAAACTTCATGCCAGACTATAGGTTCCCAGGGGCTGTGAGGAGGGTAGAATGGAAGTGACTGCTTGATGTATATGGGGTCTTCTTTGGGGGTGATGAAAATGGAACTAGATAGAGGTGGTGGTTGCACAACATTATGAATGTGCTAAATGCCACTGAATTGTACACTTTAAAAATGGTTAATTTTATGTTATGTGAATTTCACCTCAATAAAAAATAAATAAACACATAAAAAGGAAGGAATTCAGTTCCTCAAAGAGCCCTTCAGTTCCTCAAAAGCTAAACATATGATCCAGCAATTCTGCTCCTACATATGTGACTGAAGGAATTGAAAGCAGAGACTCAAACACATATTTGTACACCGATGTTCATAGCAACATTATTCACAATAGCCAAAAGGTAGAAACAACCCAAATATCCATTGATATGAATGGATAAACAAAATGTGGTCTATACATACAATGGAATAATATTCAGCCATAAAAAGGAAAGATATTCTGACACATGCTACAACATGGATGAATATTGAGGACATCATGCTAGGTGAAATATGCCATACACAGAAAGACAAATATTGTATTATTCCACTGACGTGAGGTACCTAGAATAGGTGAATTCATAGAGATGGAAAGTAGATTAGAGGTTACCAGGGGCTGAGGAAAAAGAGATTAGGGAGTTATTGCTTACTCGTTAGAAGGTTTTTGTTTGGAGTCATGAAAAAGTTCTGAAAACAGCTGATGGTGATGGTTGCACAATTTTGTGAATACTATTAATGCCACTGAGATGTACACTTAAAATGATTTAAATGGTGAATTTTATGTTTGTATAACACATTCTATTCTGCCACAGGTATGAAATACAAAAAAAAACTATTTAAAAAGGAAGGAATTATAAGTTCTTTGCACCTTATTTATGTTACCCCCATAGGGAAGGAAAGAAGTATGGTTTCCCCCATGTAAGCCTTCTGAGTCTGGGCTCTATTTTCTTCCAGGGTGTTTTCCCATTCCTATTATATCTGCCACACCCAGTTCTGTGATTCCCTTGAATGAGTCTGTGAAGATCCTGTGCCGGGGAACTCCCTGGTCTTTCCTGTACCAACTGGAGATCCTGGGAAACTCCATAAACAAGGTGGTGGAGGAAAAATTTGGATTTCAGGAGGAGGCTGAATTCATCATTAACCACATGGATACAAACACTGCAGGGCATTATCAGTGCCGATATAGGAAAGAGTACAGCTGGTCGGAGTATAGTGTAGCCTTGGAGCTGGTGGTGACAGGTGAGGAGACATCCAGGGTCTCCAGCCCTCAGGTGGCTTTTCTTTCTTATTTTTTCATTGATGTCACTTTTAGAACAGTTTCAGATTTACAGGGAAATTGAGAAGATATGACAGAGAGTTTCCATATATGCGGCACCCAGTTTTCTCTATTGTTAACATCTTCCGCTAGTATGGTACATTCCTTACCATTAATGAACTGATGTTGATACATTATTATGAGCCAAAGACCACAGTTTATTTAGATGTCCTTAGGTTTTACCTAATGTCCTCCATCTATTCCAGGATCCCATCCCGCACTGAATTTAGTTGTCATGTCTCTTTAGGCTCCTCTTGGCCATGGAAGTTTCTCAGACTTTCCTTGTCTTTGACAACCTTGGCTGTTTTGAGGAGCACTGGTCAGGTGTTTTATAGAATCCCCCACTGTTGGAAGTTGTCTGGTGTTTTACTCATGATAAGACAGGTGTTATGGATTATTGTGAGGGAGACATAGAGGCACAGTGTCATTTTTTTTTTTTTTTTTTTTTTTTTTTAAGATTTTATTTATTTTATTTTTCCCCCCAAAGCCCCAGTGGATAGTTGTATGTCGTAGCTGCACATCCTTCCAGTTGCTGTATGTGGGACTCGGCCTCAGGATGAACGGAGAAGTGGTGCCTCGATGCGCACCCGGGATCCGAACCCGGGCCACCAGCATCGCAGCGCGCGCACTTAACCACCAAGCCACAGGGCCGGCCCGCACAGTGTCATTTTAATCACATCATATCAAGGTTACATACTCTACAAATGATGTGACTGTTGATGTTGACCTTGAGCCCCTTGCTGAGATCCTGTTTGTCAGGTTTCTCACTGTAAAGTTACTTTTCCTCCCACCCATCCTTTCTGTTTGGAAGGAAATCACTATATGCAGCCTGTACTTAAGGAGAGAGGAGTTATTCTCCTGCTGCGGGAATCCAGCCCTCAGTTTTAAGCTCTGTCCTCAGTGTGGCCTGGACTCCGTGTTTCTAGAAGGGAGCACGCTGGATTTCCAGGTTGTTCTGCACGCTAGCATTCTTCTTACACATTATCACCTCCTTCAGCTCCTGACATAGCTCCTCAAACTTCTGGATACCATCCCCCCTTTTCTCCAACATACAGCTTGTGATATTGTGATTTATAATAAGAAATATATGTTTGGTCTTTGTCCCTGTTTCTGGCACAGAGCTCCTAAACCCTTGGAATTTCCTAAGAAATAAGAGTGATAAAGGTGTCTTGATAATCATAGCAAACCCCTTTCAACCACACCTGAGTATAGGTTAATGAGGTGACTTTTGGGAAGCACCTAAATATGGCGGCTGGTTACCAGTGGGGCCAATCATGTGATTAGAGGGTTGGAATTTTCAGTCCCAATCCCTGATCTCTGGGGAGAGGGGAGGGGCTGGAGATTGAATTCAATCACCAATGGCCAATGATTTAATCAATCATGCCTATGTAATGAAGCCTCCATAAAAACCCAAAAGGACAGGGTTCAGAGAGTTTCTGGATTGTTGAACACGTGGAGGTGCTGGGAGAGTGGTGCACCTGGAGAGGGCATGGAAGCTCCACGCTCTTTCCCCATACCTTGCCCTATGCATCTCTTCCATCTAGATGTTCCTGAGTTATATCCTTTTATAATAAACTGGTAATATAGTGAGTAAAATGTTTCTGTGAGTTCTGAGAGCCACTCTAGCAAATTAATTGAACCAAAGGAGGGGTTGTGCAATTGGAGTTCTAAAGTGGGTAGGGGGAAGTTGTGGTACTGAGCCCTTAGCCTATGGGATGTGACACTGTCTCAGTGTAGATAGTATCAGAATTGAGTTGAACTGTGGGACACCCAGCTGGTGTTGCAGAATTACTTGGTGGTGTGGGAAAAAGAAAACCCACAGGTTGTCATTGGTAACAGAATTGTATGGCTCTTCTGGCTTTAGAGACCAGATCTCTCTCTTGAAGATGGTGTCTCATCTAAGCCTCATGGGCTGCTTGTTTGCTCAGCCCTGTCTGCAACAGTTTGTGACAGAGTATAGGTCCTGTGGTAGTGAAGTGGGCTATTCCCAGCTCCCATTCATTTACAATAGGAAACATCAGTATCTTCCAGTCTCTTAGCATGGATCCAACATGAGTGGTAGGAATAAAAGGGAAAGAGAATAATTGCTAATACCTTGCTAATAGCTCACTCTCTTCCCTTTTAGGCTTGTATGACAAACCCTTCCTCTCCACTGACCAGGACTCTAAACTGATACCAAGAAAGAATATTTCCCTCCAATGTGGTTCAACACACGTCCTGTTTGATAGATTTTCACTGATCGAGGAGGGAGGAGCCACCTTGCCACAGCACCAAAGTGAGGGACACCAGGGCAACTTCACTCTGGGTCCTGTGAGCCCTGGCTTCTCAGGGAACTACAGGTGCTATGGTTGGTGAAGTGGCAGCCCTTATGTGTGGTCAGCCCCCAGTGATGCCCTGAAGCTTGTGGTCAAAGGTATGTGCATCCTAGCCCAGCCTATGTCTTCCTCTCTGGGGCTCTAGCTGGCTGTCCAGGGCCTGGGCATCAAGCAGGAGTCTGAAGAGGTGCTCTGAGAAAGAAGGATGGGGCAGTAGAGAGTCATTACTCAGAGGACTGTGAAGAGAGAAGCACTTCTATCCTACACCACATTCGACTTTCACATCCTCTCCTAAAGTTCTCCAGACAATATCCTTTGAAAACATGTGTGGTCTATTGAGAAAGCAGAAACCAACGTTCAGAATCATGTTAAGGGGCACTGTTGAGACAATAGATAGCTGACACAACCTTAGACTTGCTCTCTTCCCTTTTTCGCATGCTTAGTTGCCTCTGGGCATCCTTATACTAACCTGCAATACTAGAATCCATTCTGAGTGACTGGCTAGGAACTTACGGCTTGTGGGAAGAACTCTTAAAAGCTCTATTGCGGGCCGGCCCAGGGCACAAGTGGTTAAGTGTGCGTGCTCTGCTGCGGCGGCCCGAGGTTCGCTGGTTCGGATCCCGGGGCCGCACCGACACACCACTTGGCAAGCCATGGTGTGGCGGTGTCCCTTATAAAGTGAAGGAAGATTGGCACAGATGTTAGCCCAGGGCCAGTCTTCCTCAGCAAAAAAAGAGGAGGATTGGCAGATGTTAGCACAGGGCTGATCTTCCTCACAAAGAAAAAAGAAATCTATCGCAAGCCCCATTTTTATATTGTTTGCGTACATCACTCTGCTCAGAGGGAGAAAATAAGAGTTATAGCCGAGGAAAGCAACTGCCAATCACTGAGCAGGGCAACTACATCGTCTCTTAGGTCCACGTTGTCTAGTCATTCTACAAGCTAAGCAAATACGACAGTCACGGCTAGAATGGTCTTTTTGGTTAATGATGCATGGACAATCGGGCATCTATAGAGGAGGAGTGAATTTATTAGTCTTTTCCTTCAGAGTAGATAGTCACAGTATCTTGTTTTAGAAATAATCTGCTCTTCCAGTGTCAAGATGATTCTCTCGTATTATCTTCTCAAACTCAAAATATTTTGCATTTCACAAGTAGGAATTTTAAGTCCATTTGCAATTGATTTCAGCTTTTTAACAGGAGAGAGTTACTAGGATTTCTGAGCATTGTAATTTCACAGTATTTTATTGTGAGCATCCTTGAGACCAACAGAGGCCCATGCAGTCCACATAAAAAATGAAGAAATTTTTTAAAGTTTCAGAGAACAGCAAAGGTGTGAAAGTGAAAGGTCACACAATAATGGAGACCAATATTACCTAAGTTCATCTGAAAATTTTTTCCCACCTACTTACCAGATACCAACAGTGCTGTACCCTTTGTCATGTATAAGAGAGGAATAAAAATTCTTGTGTGGGTTGAAGAAGGTGTAGAAGAGAGAATGTAGGGCTCTGGATACATGGAGGTGTTGCTGGGATATGATTAGACATTCAGTGAAATCACCGCATGAGGAGGGAATGAAAAGTAAACACAAGATCCCCACAGCCACTTCCTTTCCCATTTATAAGACTCTCCTGGGAACCACAGTTCCTCACCATTGGACCCAGGCTTACAGACTAAGTATGGTGCTCATGAATGCATGACCTCATCGCAGAGGAGGTCCAAGTGGTACCACAAATAGGGAAAGGAGATCTCCCTTCAGGGCTCTGGGGTTGAAATGGAATAGAACGTGACCAATGACTGTTCATCTCCTTGAATTATGTCTCTAGATACCATGAACCAAGACTATACGTTGGAGAATTTGATCCGAATGGGCGTGGCAGGGATGGTCTTTGTGGCTCTCTTGGCCATACTGGCTGAAAATTGGCACACTTGTAAGGTTCCTCACAAAGAAGACAGGCAAGACTTGCCTGAATCGAGCTGGGGTAAGCAGAAACAGCATACTGAACCTCTGGACCAACCCCTAAGAGCCTCTGGACTGACTTCTAACAGCCACCAGGCAGACACGGGGTGCTAAAGGTAGATGAGTAGAAATCTACAGCATCCTGCAAAGCTACTTGGAGAATACAAGGAAGAAAGAGGCACTAACAAGCTTGGATACATTTTCAAGCCAATCAAATGGTTTGATATAAGCCAATCTTATATGGATCTGGTATATTTGCACTCCACCTTCCTGAACATTAGTGATAAAATTCTCACCACTGTTTTGGCTTAACTCACTCACTGTGATAAAAATAATTCAAAGCATTCCCAGTTCTCCTTGCTGATTGTTTTTCACCCTTCCTCTGTAGAAGTTCTGACCCATAACTTCGTTTTGTCTTGACTTTGTCAACAAAACTGAATACCTTTACATCCTCCTATATAAGACCTTAGCACTTAGAATTCCATGAATTATTAATACTAATAATTAATTAATTATTAATACCGTGCACTCAACATACCACATATTCCATGACATATGGGCTTCTAGTTTTTCCTACACCAAAATTTGTGTATTAACACATGCTTTCCCCATTGTTAAGAATACTCTCCTGTTCTTATGAAACTGTGACACATTTCAAAATGTCTCATGCCTCCCAGCACAGTAGATAGACTTGTGAAAACAGCCGGAACAAGCGTCTCCTTTGGGTTATCTCGCACTTTGAGCTACTTAGTCCATTGATTCGTCTTTTTGTAGTATTCATCACGAGGTCTAGAAAACATAAAATATTGGAAATATTTATTGAAATCATTAATAAATAAGTTGACGAAGAAAATGTTCGTGATTGGGCCTGATAAAACAACAAGCAAGTGCCACAATTTCAGAGGAGGGCTAATAAGAGTCTTTACATAAGATCCAGGGTTTGGACCAGAGAGATGCAATGGGGTTTGATTCCGAGAGAGGGATAAGATTAGCCTCAGATACATGGTTTAGTTGACAGCAGGGCCTCGTTTGAAGACAGGCTTCTGAGAATAAAAAGGTCTTGCACTCCTAGGAAAAGACTCTATCGTCCTGTAACCCCGGTAAACAAGGAGCAACCAGAACCGGTTTTTAACCCATCATCGATGACCACTCACCTCAGTGAAAATGCCTTGGTGATTCAACCAATCAGACAGCCTCTTGCTTCTAAACATCAGCCAATCAAAAACGAGTTCACTCCACTAAACACATCTATGAGTGACAACCAATCAAAATAGTCTCCCTCAAAAAAACATGCTTTTATAGGTGATGTCAAACCACAAGAGCCCCCGAAAATCGACATTTCCCCCAAAACCCTATGGGATATAGGATCATCAGTAGGCTTTGCTCAGAGACACCATGTCTGGCCAAGAGAACTATCCCTTACTATAGTAAAAATAAATTTGACTTTGCCTTTTTATTTCAGGCATTGAATAGTGAGTGCATCAGCCTTTGATAATTCATATATTGGATTGATCTAGGTTAAGTATAAGATTTTGCTTAGAGGCAAAGAGAATGGGGGCTTATATTCCGGGACCTTCTCTTCTATGTTAGGTTTTATGCTGGTCATTTCGTTTACAGGAGATCACTGTAACCCTGTGAATTTTATTTTAATCAAACTGCATTTCACATGAGCCAAAAGAGGCTCAGAAAATGACATGATTTGGATAATGATACAAATATATGGATACAGAGTTTCAGTTTGTGATGATGAAAAAGTTGTGGAGACAGATGATGGTCACACAACAACGTGAATGTACTTAATGCCACTGAACTGCACACTTTAAAATGGTTAAAATGAACCTCTATCCATTAAATGACAACTCCTCTTTTGGGGTACAGGGTTTCAGTTTTGCAAGATAAAAAAAGTTCTGAAGATTTGCTTCACAACAACATGAGTGTACTTCTCATTACTGAACTGCACACTTGAAAATGGTGAAGATGGTAAATTTCATGTTAGAAGGTTTTTTTACCACAATAAAAAAAACCTTTAAAAATGGTTAAAATGGTAAATTTTATGTTATGTATATTTTTCCACCATTTGTAAAAATTTCTTTAATAAAGTCTATAGAGACTGAAAGTAGATGAGTGGTTGCCTCACTGAAGGGTGAGGGGGTAGTGGGCAGCAACTGCTAGTGGGTATTGGGTTTATTTTGGGGATGCTGAAAAAGTTCTAAAATTAGATTGTGGTGATGGTCAAGCAACTCTATAAGTATACTAAAAACCACTGAATGATATACTTTAAATGGATGAATTGTATTGTATGTAAATTGAATCTCCATGAAGTTGAGGTTTTCTTCAAGTACCACAAACATGAATAAATTGGGATTGGCCCAGTGGCATAGTGGTTAAGTTTGCATGCTCTGCTTAGATGGCCCAGTGTTCACAGGTTCCAGTGCCAGGCGAGGACCTACACACCACTCATCAAGCCATGCTGTGGCAGGGTCCCACATGCAAAATACGGGAAGATTGGCACAGATGTTAGCTCAGGGCCAGTCTTCCTCAAGCAAAAAGAGGAAGATTGGCAACAGATGTTAGATCAGGGACAATCTTCCTCGAGCAAAAAGAAGAAGATTGGTAATAGATGTTAGCTTAGGGACAGTCTTCCTCACCAAAAAATAAATAAATAAATAAATAAATAAATAAATAAATAAATAAATAAATAAATAAATAAATAAATTATTAGCAACATCCTCAGTGTCACTTACTTTTTAATTGGTTGAGTCATGACTTGAAATCCATTATCCACAACATGTCTTACTGTCTGTATATGGGGATAGTTCTAGGAGTACAGGTGTGAGCTTAAGGTGGAAACCAGGCTGAACTAAATAGATACAGAAGACTCCATAAGAAAGCAGAGACAAACTTAGCGAGATGGATGGTATGGTTCAACTTAGAGTGTGGTGTCCAGGGAAGACACTCAGGTTCAGAGGCATATCCCCCTAAGATGATCACCCGACACCTCTAATTACCTGGATAAAACACGGCATTTATTTAACATCTTTGTACCTCAGTTTCTTATCTGCAAACTGATGGAATAAATGCTACCAATTTCATCAGTTTATCGTGAATATTCAATAAATTAATGATTGCAAACCAGTCA